GGGGGGGGGGGGGAGTGGGCCCTTTGTGTTTGAGTGCTTGGTGCTGGGCAGAGCTAATTAGGAATGTCCCATGTATGGCGGGGGTCAGCAGTGTACCAGCCCTGGACACTGGGGTGCAATCCTAGGGAAAGCATCCCTTCTAGAGTATTTGGAAGGACCTTATGCATAGAGGTGAAATTTCCAACAAATTCAGAGTTCTGAGTCCAGAACCTGAGGCCTGACCCCACTACGACAACACGGCCACAGGATTACCGGCCCATGCCCTGAGGACTATGTGTTTGCAGCTCAGGATGAGAAGAGAAGCTTTACCAGAAGAGTCTGTCTGGGGCCGGCCTGCAAGTTCTCTGGGGAATCATCAGGGGTGACCTCATAGTGTAGCTGAAGGCCACAGAGTGATCCTAGCAGAGGGCCAGCTGGCACAGAAGCTGCTGGGCCCTGTGAGGAGGGCCAGCGCCACAGAGAGCACAGGTCTGGTGACCTCCACTTGTAGCTCCTTCCTCGAGACTATGCCAGATCTTAAGAATTCATAGGACTCTGGAAACAAGGTGAGTGACCCTTATTTGGTATTAATGGCTGGATGTCTCTTCTCTTCTGGAAGCCTTCCATTTGGAATGATGCAATTTGGGGAGACAATGAGCATCCAGTTGGCTCTCTGAAGAAGACATTTTCCCAGGTTCCTGTGTGAGGACAATGGGTTCAGGTAGCATGATTTCCCTGGATGACTCCGCCCTGAGTAGCACTTCTACAGCTACTCTACAGCCAGGGGATTGATATTACACTCCCACCAGGAGTGTAGTCTCGTTTTACTACTAACCCTAATAGCTAACACTGATGAGTGTTTATTACCTACAAACCTTCACTTCTGGGAATTTATCTTAAGGACGTAGTCAGAAATATGTATATGGAAGTCCATAATAGTATTCTTTGGTAAAGGAAGTTTTGAAACAAATGAGAGTGGCTTAAATAAATTATGATAAGTTTATGTAATAGAATGGATAATCTTATATAATAGAAATATAATTTGTATAATAGAATGTTTAGAATTTTCAACCATTACGCAAATTGTACTCAGTGATGTAAAAATATGAAGTATATAAAAATTGAACTTCCGGGGCCGGCCCGGTGGCGCACTGCTATAGTGCGCCACTTGGGAGCGCTGCGGCGCTCCCGCCGAGGGTTCGGATCCCACATACAGACCGGTTCCCGCTCACTGGCTGAGCGAGGTGTGGGCGCAACACCGAGGGTTGCGATCCCGTTGTCGGTCCCGGTCCGGTCCGGGCGCGACACTGAGGGTTGCGATCCGTTGCTGGACACGAAAAAGACAAAAAAAAAAAAATTGAACTTCCTTTCTTTGAAGCAGTGGGGGTGGGTGCATTGTTACCTGAGGAGCTCTGCAAATAAGGCTCACTCTCCCCTCTCCCGGCCACTCCTAGGGCAGCCGCTGAAAGAGGTCCAAAGGCTGACAGAAGAATTGTTAACAATGTAGGGAAATAATCATATAATATTAGGTGTTAAAATCAGAATAAAAACCATATACACAGTATGTCTTAATTTTATGAAACACTCTCAAATCCACACACAGCCATAGAAAAATGCCTGGGAAAAAACATCTTAAAGTAATGATGGTTGTCTCTTGGTTGGATTTTAGGGCATTTGTATTTTCTTTTTATTAGGTTTCTTTTTCTATTTTCCAAAATTTCTTTAATGAACATGTACCACAGTTATAATCAGAAAAGAAGTTATTTAAAAGAGGATTTTATTCCTTTCTCTCCCAAAATTCACCTCAACATTCAGTTGCCACCAAAACTCAGAGGTTTGTCCCTCTGGCGGTGTCACCCCCATGATAAAAAATTGTGTATATATATTACAAAGTTATGATTAAGTCCATCTACAGTGTTTCTTTTTTTTTTTTTTGGCTCTTTTCAGTTTATTGCATGAAGGAGTTACACTAGTCCAAGTTAATAGTGGACCCCAAATGGTTACATTATACAAGCTGTGAGGTTTTTAAACTTGTGACAAGGGACAGAAGGGAAATTCTACTCATTGCAAGGAAATCCTCACTTAAGCTTCAGTGAGCCACAAGCATTTAAAACCCATGAACCTTCAGCTGATCGTCCTTAGCCAGTCCAATCTGCAAACAAAAAAGGACAAAGTTTTAAAGAGAGATCAGGGATAAAGTCTCCATCTCTGATGGTAACAAACCTGTCTTCCTGCTACTGTACTGGGCAAGAAAAACTCAATAGCCAAGGTGCAATCCAATGAGTATAATGACTCAACTGAACGTATTCAGTTGTAAGAACTACCTTTTTGAACATCTTGTGCTTTCTGAAATTCTGATTTAGAATGTGTGAGACTAAGGATATGATATCTGAAATATCTTCAATTATATCAAGAACCAATGATATAACAAGATTTTAGTATTTAGTAAATTCACGATTTTTTTTTACCTCATGGTCTTACAAATACAGGAACAACCCAGCATACACATTATTTTAGTATATCTGTGTGAAATTTATATTTGCACCTGTGAAGTAGAGCCACACAAACATTAAATTTAATGTAGACAAAAGTCTTCTGTATTTAGAAACAATTCGACTTGTTTATGTACTTCAAAACTCAACTACTGTTTTGCTTAGCATTACAAAACAAGCTTCCACGTCCCCGGCATAAACTGAACAGACTAGGCAGGACATGAGATTTGACAGTGAAGAGGCACGAACTCACCTCTACGAGGAACTGGCATATGTTCTTGCGCTGGTCACCCTGTAGCTGAATTACTTCTCCATATTCTGGATGCTCAATTACAGTACCATTGCAGGCAAACTTCTGCAAACACAAAGGAAGCAAAACAAATGAGGCCAAACAGCAGTGATAACACATTTAACAATCCCTTTTGGGAAATAATATGACAAAGTTCCCACCCCCTCGTGGACAAATTAAGTGTGATTTTTCCTATAAGCCCAATGAGAACCTACCTTCTTAAACGCCTTCACTAGTTTCTTTTTATCGTAATCATCAGCGATCCCTTGGACAGTAGTAAGGGTCTTCCTGCCGTTTCTCTGTTGAATTCTTATATGGATATAATCCTCAGTGCCAGCAGGAAGCAGGTCATCACCCTTACTTGCATCAGCAAAGGGGTCGAAAGAGTGGAGGTTCTGGATAGCGGACATACGATACGATTCCTTTTCCTCAGTGGGCGGCGGGAGAAGGCGGGCGGGGGGGACGGAGCGTCGGGAAGCGAGGGGGCTCGAGGGGGAGGTTGCTGAGTCCTCGGCGGCGGCTCAGTGACTGGGGCCCCATCTACAGTGTTTCAACTACTACAATTAAATAAATATGCTCATGGTTGAACCAAGTGGTAAACAATGACTACATTTCCTTTCCTACACTCCTTTGTTTTTCCTGGTGCTAATAATTATCTCATTTTTGGAGGCAGGGGGATGTGACAGGGATTGGACAAAAAAAAGAGGTTCTAGGGTGGTTGTCACTCTCCATTTCTACCTGGGTGATCATTACAAAGGTGTCTGCCCTATATTCTTTTAAGCTCTACTTTTGTCTTTCATGGTTTTTCTGTACCTGTTTAATTTTACAAAAAAAATTTAAATAAATAATGCAACAAGAACAAAAAAAAAAGGCTTTTTTTACTTAGTTTTTATTGAATGCAAATGTAAGTCTTTTCACACACACCCCCACCCCACCATGCAACAGTTTTGTAAAATAAATCTTCATACAGCTTTTCATACAAACCTGCCCCAAACTCTATCAGCACCATTTTCTCCTGGACCCTGCTGGGTGCATGCCATCCTCCAAGACTGGTCTGATTAGCTGCTCTCCAGGCTTGTTGCTGGGCTATCAGCCTGATACCTTTTCTCACCCCTTCCTGTGTTAGATTCCCTTTCCCTTGGATCCACACTTTCTTAGTTTTAGTGAAACATGGGCATATGTGAGAGATGTTTTTTGAGATTCTGCATGTCTGAAAATGCTTTATTCTACTCTCATATGACTCATAGTTTGGCTGGGTATAGAATTCACAACTAAACATCATTTTTACTCTAGAATTTTTTAGGACAATTTCCACTGCGTAATTTTGTTAGTAAGAGGCTTTATACCATGCACATTCCTAATCTTTTTTGTCTATTGTTGGAATCTTCTCTAAGCCTGGTGATTTGAAAGGTCATGTTTGTACGCCTCAGGGTAGATCTGTTTCATTCATGGTGCTAGGTAGTGGATTTTCTCTGAAGACCTCATGCTTTGGTTCGGGTAAATTTTCTGTACTCTTTCTTTGATAATTTCCTCCTCTGAGCTTTTCATGAACTGTTAGACCTACCGGATTGAACCTCTACTTTTCTTATCTTTCCCTCATTTTTCATCTGTCTTTTTGTTCAACTATCTGGGAAGTTTCCTTTATCTTTAAACGTTTCCTTAATCTTTAAATTTTTACAAAATTTTTTTTTCTGTTGTCATCTTTTCTAATTTCTATGAGCTTTAATTTGTCCTTTTTTAATGCACCCTATTTCTATTTCATGAATGTTGTATCTTCACTTATTTCTGAAGAATTATGGTGGCTTTGACGTGTTCTATCTATATTGTCTATTTTCATTGAATTCCTGTTTACCTGCTTATTTATTTTGGTCTCTTTCATGTTGGACCTTTTCCTCTCATGTCTGAGATCCTTATTGCCCATCCACATTTGAGAGTAATGCACTGACAACTTACAAGGGCACTTCTTGTAAATGAGGGTACTTGGTTGTGGGACCACTGCACGGAAGACCAGCTGTCTTATTTTGGAATCTGCCAGTTGGTTTGTTTACTCAAAGAATTCTTCAAAGAACCATTTTCCAATCTCCTGCTGGAGAAGGAAGAGGAGAGGCCGGGCTGCCAAAGTCTTAGAGTTAGCTGGAAAAGACAATAGCTAAATCTCACTGATACTCATAGTCTGTCCCTTACCCCCACCCCCATTATCCAAACAGCCCTCACCACTCACCCACTCTATGTCTGTATCCCCATGTCCAGAGCCTCTGTTTCTGTCTCAGGGTAACATACCTACTGTCCCCTGTGGAGACAGAAGAGTGGTGACCAAGCTGTAGGGGTGGAGAGTGACAACAACTTGAAGGTCTAGCTGAAGCTTACACACAATTTTCAACTAACCCCTCTCTTCATCCCCAGCCTTAACCCCATCTTCCTCATATCTGGTTCCTCCAATTTCTGATTCTTCCTGAGACCACTTGGGTGCTTAGGTTTGACCCACATTTACTCCACCAAATGAATGCTGTTCCTCCATCTACTTTCTGTCTTCATGTAGTATGATTTGGAATTACAGATATGTCCTAGTTTTATTGAAAAGAGTGACAGAGCATTTGTTTTTTCTTCGCTTTTGGAGTGATTTTGAAAGGAGAAGAAATGTCTTCATACCACCATTTAACCATCTCCACCTTGGTTTTCAGTATAACTGTGATTATATTTTTGGTTTCCTTGATCCTCTAAATTTTCTACAATTAACATGTATGACTTTAATAAGCAAACACACACACAATTATTTAAACACGGACATATCCAACAAGGCCCGGAGCACCCATGCCTGCACCTTCCTCCCTTGCTGAGCCAGCTGGGCCTGGGAAGCCCCCTTGCCTTACACATCTCAGCTCCCTGACACCTGTCAGAGAGCACCACAGCCTCCTTGTCTGGGAGCTCATTCTGGGGTTCCTCACCACTGGGCCAGGGCTGGTGACCAAATAGCCTTTGCCAACCATGCCAGCTCATCTATGCACAGTGTGGATCCCCTCACACATTCC